TGAACAAAAAAAAATTATGTTTTAAGCCAAATATTCTATACTAAAATACGAAAGGAGTAGTATATAACATCAGAATCATTTACTCACCATACTATACTGGTATCTTTTCTTTTCTTTTTTTGGATAAATCATACACATTTAAAACTTTTTCCGCCAATACTTTCTCCTATGGATGGAATTATTATCTGGGATCCGAGATTCGATCCGTTATCCATTCGAAATCGCTCCAAAAATTAGGATATCCGGAGAACTCGGATCCGGATAACGATAGTAAATCTAGGATCCGTGAAAAGAGGATCCGGATCCGGATAGCAAAATTTTAAGGTCCGGATATCCGGATCCGGAATCGGACGAATTAAATATATTAAAACATATATATTATATATCTATTAAGCTAATTTTATATAAATAAATATATATAAAAATTGATTTTAGTTCTTTTATAATAAATTATATTTATAATAAAAAATACCATTAAAATATTAACTAATAATTTTTAAAATATATTTTTATTTATTTATTCATTATTTTAATTATTTTTTAATATTAGTTTCGGATTTGGATCCGGATCCGGATATCCGGATTTTTGGCCGGATATCTAGAGTCCGGATATCCGGAAGTTATGAATCCGAATTCAGATAGTTTTTCCATAGATCTGATGATTTAGGATGCAGATCTAGATATCTTCAAATTTTAGGATAGCCGGAATTGTTCCACCCCTATTTTTCCTAGTTTTCCTCAATAAATATATTTTTGTCCCAAACTTCAAGTCTTTCTAATATAAAATTCATCACAAGAAATAAATACAGAAACCGGGGACCCGCCAAAATCTTTAGAGATACAGGTGACGTCAGCAAAGATGCTTCGTTTTGTTTATTATCATTAAATTATTTTTTGTTTTTCCCCCATTTCGATTTTTATTCAAGATTACTAAAAGGTTTATAATTTGGAATTTTTGGCTTATAATTTTTTTTGTATTCGGAGTCAATTTTCATATATTCCGATTTAAGGTATAACTTTCCGTATCAAAAGAAGTTTGGAATCTAAAGTTTAAGAGAACCAATCATGTTGTGTTACTACTAGACCACCAAATCTTTCGATTTTTTTCTCCAATTTAAACATATCAAAAATAATTATAAAAAATATATATAAATAGATATTCAGGGAAAGGTGAAATAATAATGGTGGCATTTACCGGATAATATTGAGCAGTTGGGGTTTGTGATGGTGTTGGTGGCGACGACATGGCAATTTTCTTGTGGATTCTCTTCTTAAGATTTGTTTCCCATGGTATCATGTTATGCCC